CCAGATGGATTTTCACCCTGGAACGTTTCCGGGGTGAAAATCCATCTGGGACCTCCCGACGCTGCGCGGGAGGGCCCAGCCGCGAAAAACAAGCTCCCCAATAAGAGATCTCATTTGGAAAATGGCCATGTTGGGAGCCCGGGTACACCCCCATCCCCGACAGAGCCGTTTTGCGTCGGGAAGGGGTTCCAAATGGATTTTCACCCTGGAACGGTTCCGGGGTGAAAATCCATTTGGGACCTCCCGACGCTGCGCGGGAGGGCCCAGCCGCGAAAAACAAGCTCCCCATTAAGAGATTTCATGTGGAAAATTGCCATTTTGGGAGCTCGGGTACACCAACCCCCTTCCCCAAGATGCGCCCGCAAGGCTCCCGAGAGCGCCCAGATGGAAAATCACCCATTTCAGGTTCCACTTTTCACCCCGGAACCGTTCCAGGGTGATTCTGGAACCTGAAACGGGTCGATGCCGAGACACGAATCCTCCCTAGGAGGTCCCAGGAGGCCCCAGGAGGCCCCAAGAGGCTCCTGGAGGCCCCAGGAAGCCCCAGTAGGTTTCAGGAGGCCCCAGGAGGACCCAGGCTCATGCGCAGAGACACGCTCGTACTACTGAGGCTCATTCAAACTTTAATTCATTCTCAGTTAGTTCATGACCAGACCGTCACAACTGAAGCCCGCTTATATTCGAAAGTTCTTGCGCCTAGATATTCACGGCGGACAGGTCCATGCGAATAGATGCACATATGGGAGTTCCACGCAGTGAATAATTTGTTTGAGCGCCGCCCGCATTCGTCTTAGACGCTTCCCTGGTTCAAGTCTTTCTGGAATTTAGCAGTGTGTGGTCGGGGGTCCGCAATTAACCCGCCAGCCATGCTGAGCCCGCGTGCGATGTTTCAAGAAGGTGAGGCAGCCCTCGCCGAGCATGGGAAGGACAAGGCGGTGCGTCCCGAGTTGGACATTCTCAGCTCGGCCCCCACGCGGTGCCCAACGTCAGAGCTGCTCGCCTTCGGCGACGACCAGGACGCCGACTCGCGCAAGGAGAGCCGGGGCGCTACAGCGCTGCCGAGGGACGGCGACGAGCCTGCGCTCCTGCAGACGGCGCCCCTCGAGGCGGTGCTCTTCGGGGACGGGCACCACCAGATAGGGTCAGCGATGCCAGCGCCGAGGGTGGCCCCGCTCAGGCGACTGCGGTCCGAGGCGTTCTGGGAGCAGAAGGCGGCTGCCGCCAGGCTACCGGCGCGCTCGCCTTGGGAGTTGGGCGTAAGGCAGCGCCGCCCTTGCCTTGACGAGCGTGAAAGCTGCGGGCCGGCAGCGGTCGCGACGCCAGCAGCAGAAGGCGCCGAGGTCGAAGGCGCCGTTGGCAGCTCCAGGAGCTGGGCGGGCGCCGTCTCCAGGGAGTTGCGCCGCGGGGCGCGCGGTCCCGTTGCGCTGCCTGCGCCGTCGCCATGGTCGCCATCAGCAGCGCTCGGGGCCGCTCTGAGGTCGCGTGGCCGGTCGTACCACCCCGCTGGGAGCCGCGGAGCCGCCAAGTGTGCCGCACCGTGCGCAATCAACGGCCAGCGGGGAGCGAGGTGTTTGTTATGTGATCACCCGCCAGCCAGAGATGACCCGCGGACCTGACACCCGCCCGCCACTGGAGACGCCTGCGCGGCAAGCCTCCTAACGGCGACGCGTGAGTTGCGGCAAGCCATGTTCTCTTTCTTTCATTAATTTGTTTTTTTCCGAATTCGTCTAATTTTATCAGCCACGAATCACGTGCACAACAACAACATTATTGTGAAGGCCTTACGGCTGGTGCCGCCGACCCTGAAGGTTTTGGCCGTTGATGGCGAAAGGATGTGTGATCACAGGAAGGAGCTAAAGGACAACGTGACAGTGTAGGCGGAGGAAGTGATGAGGAGGAGGAGGAGGAGGAGGAGGAGGAGGAGGAGGAGGAGGAGGAGGAGGGAGGAGGACGAGGAGGAGAAGAGGAGGGGAGAGAGGAGGAGGAGGAGGAGGAGGAGGAGGAGGAGGAAGGAGGGGAGGCAAACAAAAAGGAGATGGAGAAGGTGGCAAAAGACGCTCAGGACGAGGAGGGAGGTGGTATTCTGACCCGGGACCCCCCCCGGTACCCCCCCCGGACCCCCCCCGGACCCCCCCCGGACCCCCCCGGGACCCCCCCGGGACCCCCCCCCCAGCCGGGGAACGGAACAAAGGGAAGGGGAAACCCTTCGAGTCAATTTACTTTACGCAGGAGGAAAAGATGAAGGAGGAGGAGGAGGAGGAGGAGGAGGAGGAGGAGGAGGAGGTGGGGGAGACGAACGAGAAGGAGACGGAGAAGGTGGGAAAGGGAAGGAGGCACGGACGAGAAGAACAACCCATTCCACACGCCGACAGGGTCGGTGGATTTTGAAATTCGTAATTTGCCAGTGTCGGATCCGTGTCCCGGGCGTGCGAAGCGAGCTGCGAACATTGAGTTGTCGCGTTCGCGTTATTGGGATGTATTTGGCACGACGATGGGCATATATATATATATATATATATTATATATATATATATATATATATAGATGTATATATATATATATATATATATATATATATATATGTATGGGCGCGTTCTGCATCGCGCAGTCGACGCAATGTATGTGTTGTTGTTCGAGGTTTTCGCCTCGATCGCAATACCCAAGGTGCGGGGTGGGAGCGATCTCCCACCTTTCCTGCTCGCCAGGTTTCCGCGACCTCAGTGCGGCTACCTATTTGCGGCTCTTCTTGGAGGGCCAGCCCTGCGTAGGACGTAGGGGATCTGACTGGAGCTCGCGGCTCCGATGTCTCAATCGCAAGACCCAAGGTGCGGGGTGGGAGCGATCTCCCACCTTTCCTGCTCGCCAGGTTTCTGCGACCTCAGTGCAGCTCCTTATTTTCGGCTCTTCTTTGAGGGCCAGCCCTGCGCAGGGCGTAGGGGATCTGACTGGAGCTCGCGGCTCCCATGTCTCAATCGCAAGACCCATGCGGGGTGGGAGCGATCTCCCACCTTTCCTGCTCGCCAGGTTTCCGCGACCTCAGTGCGGCTACCTATTTGCGGCTCTTCTTGGAGGGCCAGCCTTGCGTAGGACGTAGGGGATCTGACTGGAGCTCGCGGCTCCCTCGCCTCGATCGCAAGGCCCAAGGTGCGGGGTGGGAGCGATCTCCCACCTTTCCTGCTCGCCAGGTTTCCGCGACCTCAGTGCAGCGCCCGATTTTCGGCTCTTCTTGGAGGGCCAGCCCTGCGCAGGACGTAGGGCATCTGACTGGAGCTCGCGGCTCCCTCGCCTCGATCGCAATACCCAAGGTGCGGGGTGGGAGCGATCTCCCACCTTTCCTGCTCGCCAGGTTTATGCGACCTCAGGGCAGCGCCCGATTTTCGGCTCTTCTTGGAGGGCCAGCCCTGCGCAGGGCGTAGGGGATCTGACTGGAGCTCCCGGCGCCGCCCGCCGCCCCAGTTTCTGACGGGGCCCACTCGCCGCTCGGCACGAACGACATGGGTACGGAAAAATTGGGTACAATGCCCAACGCCCCCCCCCTTGTCTTCTCCCCCTGCTCCCGGAGAGGGGCCGGGCCTCTCGCTGGCGACGCGCCCCTCGGCGCCGAACGGAGGCGCTCGCCCGCCCCCCCTGGCATAAGGCGACGCAGTCCCTGCTGCCCGACGCCGAGCCCAGCGAGGAGGGCCTGCAGCGCCAGGCGTTCCCGATCGTTGCGCGGCGCTCGAAGAAGAACAGAGCGACGCAAAGATCAGAGGAGGAAAAGGTACCCCTACCTCTACCCTCGCCTCTTTTTCATCCTTTTTGGGGGCCGCCTGGGCCTCCCTCGTCGCCACCGCGGGATTCGCCTCGAGATCCTGATCAGAACGCACCCCGGGAAAGGTCCAGGGAGTAGCGGTATCGGTACCCTTTGGTTTCCCGAAAAGATACTCATCGGTCGTTGAAAGTAGGTATTTTTGGATTGCCAGATTCCACTCTACTTTAAGCGCCTTCCTACCTAAATATTCGAGTGGCACCACTTTTTCCGTCCTCCTTCGGAGGCGGACGGAACCCAATCTGCTTTCAACGCCTTCCTACCTCATGCTTCTAATTACCTCTTCCGACCGATGGTTCAACTTTTTGCGCTCCGCGTGGATTCCTTGGATCCGCGCCGCCCCCCCCAGCGGCGCCTCCAGCGCCGCGGGCGCCTCCCGCGCCGCCCTTGGCGCGCTCCGCGCGCCGGGGGGGGGTCCGGCGCGGATCCGAGAACTCCGAGCGGAACGCCAAAAGTTGATGTTTATGGCGTTCTTTCTTCTTCCAGGCGCGGCAGGGGGCCATGCTACCAGATGGTTGTCAGAGGAGGAAAAGGTACCCATGCTTCGCCTCTACCCTTCGCCCGTTTTCCCCTCTTTCGGCCTCCTGGGAGGCCCTCGTTGCCACCGCTGGATTCGCCTCGACGTCCTGGTCAGAACGCACCCCAGGAGAGGTCCAGGCAGTAGCGGTCTCGGTACCTTGTGGTTTCCCCAGGTTGCTCTCCATGGGCGAAGCCAGGAGGGTGAAGAGGGAGGGCGAGAGGGGAGAGAGAGGCAAGAGGGAGGGAGGGAGGGAGGCAGACAGGGGGTTAGAGCACAGAGTAGCATGGATGGGGGAAGGGGACGGTGAGGACGGACACTTAGAGAGAGGAAGACAGCGGAGGAGGTTCAGGAGGATCAGCCGAAGAAGTTCAAACAGGAGGATGAGGAGGGAGTGCAGCAAGGTTGAAAACGATGAGGACGATGAGCAAGAGGGATTTCCTACCCCCCCCCTCACGCCATCCCATCCTCCGTCCATTCCATCCTTTCCCCGCCTTCCCCACCCGCATTCCTTACTACATTCATCCTGCCTTCTCTCCGTCCCCGCTCTCGCGGGGCCAGCCCCCCCCCACCCCCCACATCATCTTCCCGTCCCATCCTGTACCGTCTTCGCATCCCTTCCATTCGTCCTCTCCTCCAGAAACCCTCGGAGAGCCCAAGGAGACCTCCAGAGGCCAGAAAAGGGCTACATTCACTTCAACCACGTGGATCCTCGATCCTCCTGTCCTCCCCTCCTCCCCATAGGATGCAGCTCCTGGGAGTTAGATTCAGCATCGGCGCTGGTATGGACGCGGGCAGAATACGGTCGAATCTGGCATGATATTGTTTTTGTTCTTTGCGCATCCCGCCTCATCCAGCTCAGTGCAACTTCATCCCAGGCTCAGCCTGGCCCAATCCCGTGTAGGAGCCCCTCCATCGGGCGCCATGGTCCTGAATCGTTTCTGCGAGGGCCTCCCAGGAGTTGCCTCTCAACTCCCCTCCATTTCCCCCCACTGACGCCTTCCAAAGGCGACCCAATCGCTGCTGCCCGACGTCGACCCTGCGCCCCAGGCCGAGCCCTGCGACGAGGGCGACAGGTGCCAGCCGGGAGCAACTCCGGGCACGGCGGCTCACGCCCGCGAAGGGGCGAACTCGGCAAGGGGGACCTGAGCAGGGCTCGACCTAAGCAGGGTTTCCGTGTTCGTTTTGTTGTCGTTCTCTTTTGTTTTGTCTTCGTTCCGCCTTCGCCGCAAAACGAAGCCATAACGAAAACGGTCCACGAGATCGCCAAAGCATCGTTGAGGTCGTGCCCTGGATCCCAGCCCTCGGTGCCCGAAGTTCGAGGGTCGAGGCCTCCGTGCGTTCTTCCACCCGTTTCCCCAATTCGACAGTTGCCCGCCGGAAGCACCTCCTTAAGGCGGCTCGCGCCCGCGAAGGGGCGATCTCGGCGAGGGGGATCCTGGCCCGGGGGGCCGACGTTCGAGGGTTCGAGGGTCAGGGCTGCCATGCATTCTCCCACCCGTTTCCCCGAGGCGGCCCTGCCGACGGGGCTCTTACAGTCGGAGCGCTGAAGAAGGAACCCTTTGCGTTGGGGAGGGGCTCGGTGTTCCTGGGCTGCTGTGCAACTTGCCCGAGGTTTCTCTAAGGCTTTCCATGGGAAGTCGAAGTCCAACTTTTGGGAAAAAGGGGCCTCGCTCCTTATTGAGGCTTCCTTAGGTCGACGCCCCGACTGTATCTGGTCCGCGGGGAGCTGGTGAGACTGCCCCTCCCCGCGTTCGGAAGCGGGCCTCGCTCGGGGTTCCTCGGTTCCCTGGGCTTGGTGCCCATGTAGGCCAAGCCTGAAGTCGGGCCTGTCCCTCTACAGGAGGAATATTCAAGAATAGTCAAGCAAGAGTCTGGATATTATTTTTTGAATATGGTTGGATCATTGTTGAAGTTGTTTATTTTCGTTTCATTTGTTCGTCCAACATCCCCCTGTAGGGGGACATGCCCGACCTAAGCCAAGCCCCTGCAAACGGGGCGTTAGTAAACGGCCTGGTGGGTAAGGGTGCGTTTCCATGGTGTTTTCAAACAGTCGATTTGCCGCGCACACGTGCCAGGTAAACCCCCCGCCCAGAGTTGTGATGATGTATCGACGTTTTGTCGTCCCGATGCGTCACTCACTGGTGCGAGGTACATGGTAAATGCCCTGTCGCCCCGTTCTCGGTTGAAGAGGCCCCTTGGCTGCCGCCCCGTTTCCTAACGCCCCGCTTGCAGGGGCTCGGGCAGGCGCTGCTCGGCTTCCCCAGTCTCGTGTCTTGGGTTCTCGGGTCCTGCCCTGTGCTCCGCCTTTCTTCCGCGGAGGCTCCCGGGTCTTGTGCCTCGGGGTCCCCAGGCTGGTCCCTTGGGGGCTCCCTGGCCCGTGCAGTGCCAACGAATGCCAAGCAATGCCAACCATCCTCAAGCAATGCCAATCAATGCCAAACAAAGCAAAGCAACACAATGCCAAGCAGTGCAAAGCCCGGCAATGCCAATAAAAGCACAGTAACACAACGCCGAGCATTCTTAAGCATAGCCGATCCGTTCTAAGAGAAGTAACGCAAAACAATGCCAAGACACGCCAAGCACTGAAACGCAATGTCAATCAATGTCAGGCCATGCCAGGCATTGCCCGACAACGCCAGTCAAAGCAACGTGACGCAATGCCAGTCAGAACAAAGCCAATCAATGTAGAGGAACGCCAAGCAATGCCAAGCCAATGCCAAGCAACGCTTGGCAATACCAAGCGTTGCCAAGCATCGCCAGCAACTCCAAGCAAAGCCAAGCAATGCCAAACACATATTCGAAGAAATGCGGAGCAATTCCAAGCAATGCGTTGCATTGCATGGCTTTGCGCTGCTGCGAACTTGCTGTGGAAGAGCGAAGACCCCTACACGGGGTAATCGTAGCGCCAGGTTCACTTGGCCTCCTAGCGCGCTCTCGTCGCCATGGCTGGCTTTTCCTCGACATCCTGGCCAGGACGCATCCCAGGACGGGTCCGAGGATTCATTTTTGGACCCGGTGGAGGAGATGCGAAAACGATGGGAAGGGGGTGGAGAAGGGTGCGCCTTCTTTGCAACTTTGGGAGCCCAGGGGTGCCTTCTGCCTGGGGCCCAAGAGGGGCACAAGAGGTGCACGCCTCCACAGAGGTGCCTTGCATCTTAAGTTAAGACGCGAG